TCCATGATCTCGGTGTAACCAGAATTAACATCCAGTGATTTGCTTCCAAATTCTCACGTTCTACTTCATAATCTGCGTTAAGCATCAATCGAAACTCTGCCATAATATCTATTTTTTTCAGCTTGCTTTTGAACCATCTTTTGTATGGAAATTCACCAATTGTCTGTGAACTGAACACAGAAATTCTCTATTCACCCAGGCTGAATGCTATTTTTAAAGCTGCATTCGTGAAAAGATATTTCCAATATCAAGAACAACAGAATTCTAAATGTCATCAAATTAATCCATGCTGTCCCATTTTACATTGTGCCACATTTTTCCTATGTATGCTTGCGGTTAGAAGGACTTATGAGTCTTTTGTGTACCGATTTGTGGGTTTTATAAAGACCGCGGTTTCTGATTTCACTTTGTTTTGTCTGACAGAGTGGAGGTTTGTGCTCCTCTAGTTGGCCAAATCAATGACAATGACGTGTTGTAACCAAAGTCCTGAACAGAGATCCGAATGGAGATTGAAAGCTACTGCAAACAGAGTTTATTTGCAAAACGTAGGATTCGAGAAACGAATAGGAGTGTTTGAAATTGGACTTACCTAATTCGAAACGAGCGGGGCTTTTTCCATGTCGGAGCGATCTTGGAATTCTGAGACAGACTGACAAAAACAAACACTTACCTTTGTTGATGTTGCCCCCCAAAACGCTTTCATTTGTTTCTTGTTCCTCGTCTTACCTCAGAGCAAGATAATCTACAGAAAACAAAAGTTCTTGCATGCATGGAACTTACAAGAAAACTTGACAAATTGTGTGAATCCGGTCAAGTTAGATTACCGCTAGATTTTTCTACCCTTGAAATTTCAAAAGATCCATCTGGAGGGAATCCATTTTGAGGAATACTATGCGATATATTGTCTTCCTAAAAATTAAAATCAGCTGGTCCTGCGTTTTTCTCTTGTCAACTCTGAACAGCTCTCAAGGTCAGTGGATGCCCTTGAAATAAGGGATTGTAAATAAAAAGGAATAATGATGAAAGTTAATAGCTAATATCTTGCTACGGTTCTGTCACGCAGCGAGGAAACAATATGATAATGCGGATTGTGGCAATACTCTATCCCCAGCTATGTTGCTTGATCCAGACTCCTAGCAAGGCGAATAGTAAGAAGACGAAAACCTCGGACACAAACTTTAATGATCCAAAAACACGCGATCAACAGGCGATGCCCCGAGCTTCCGAACCCAAGTCAGTGGTCGGATTTAAATTTCCTTGGAGTATCAATAAGCCATTGATTTTTCATAGTTTGACCTCGGAGTTCGCTAGCACACAAAAACACAGCGTTTTCTGGGGGATATTGACATCCCCAACAATCTGGCGATAGCCCCGTTTCCGGTCTACACGGTAGTAAAGTTTGTCTTGGCGAATTACACTCCCTGACAACTTAAGTTGGGATTAGCGAAAGACTCAGGTGAACCCAGGTTAACCCCACCCGCCGGCACCTAAACAGACCTAAACACGTAAAAGTTGTTTGGAACACGTGACCACACATGTTCTAAATCATGCCATCACCGATCAAGACAAGGATCGTCCCGGGGGACATGATCAGTCCATAGACAGATTGAAAGCATCACGAAAATAGCCAATGAAGTCAACGAAGACAATGCAAGATGCTTGATTATTGACGTTGAACTAGTCGAACTCGTTCACTAAGTCCAGATGCAACAACTTGTGCTGGACGACAATACTCCTATTAGACTATGACGCTTACGGATATTTCAACTTCTGTGCACTTGTGGAAGTCTGGTGGATGGCGCAAAAACCAAACCTTGAATTGTCCAAAACTTTTAAAGGTGTTTTACGAAACCCATGCTCGCAGGCTTCGTTTGCTCTATTTCACCAGCGACTGCCCCAGTCACGAAAATGTATAGACGAACGAGTTGGTAACTGCTTTTTAGGCTCATGTGACAGTCATCCAGAATTTTTGTGATCGCTGCCGTCTACCGAGACTAGTGTTGTTCTCCATGCCTCCTCAGGATGGCGCAAACCGCGAGGTTGACAGCACATAACTTGGCAGAAAGATGTGAAAGGGATCACGAAGAGTTTGGGTGTTGTTGGTGTTTTACGCTTCCCAGGATGGGCTCCCCGTGACCCCGTCTATGCTTGGCTGGAGACGTTGCAAGAAATGGCGGCTAATCGATGTCAGTGGCGTTCGAGCTGTCAGTTTCTCTCAAGGTTGTCTGATTGAGCGGTTGGAGGTGTAGGCACCTCAGAATGGTTGACATAAGCAAACACTAGGTCCCCTCCCTCACCCACTCTTCTTCTTTTCGCCCTAGGGCTTTTAATATATATATATATATATATATATAACTAGACAAGCCTTATGGTTGTACGGCAGTGAAGCATCAGTGCCAACACTGCTGCTGCTGTTTCGACCTTCTTCGGGTCCACCAGGTAGGTGCAGTCTCCGATTTTTCGTCAACCTCATGCTTTACTTGAACCCGAATTGAACGAAATTTGACTTGTACACTCATCTGCCTATCAGTTTGGTTTTGACGGGAGGCTCACCTAGAACCCACAGGACAATCACGAACGAGAGACTGAGATGGGTTCTATCAAAATCAATTTGGTATGCAAACGAATGTATAAGTTCAAGAGTCTTGTTGGTTCTCAATGCCGGTGAACTAAAATATCATATAAACAGTTGGCCTTCCAAACAACGACAGGTGAATTTTCGGTACAGCGGACCACTTAGTGGAATGTGACCGGTGGCGCAGTCGGTGGAAGGAACAGAGTTTTGACGCTCAACTAATCGCATTTCATGAAAATAACTTGATGAATCACTCTTTACCATAAGTGAACGAGTAACATACGTTCCCTGAAGTGAAGATATATTGAAAATGTATCCGTTAAAACTCTTGAATTCTATATTTTGTGAAGAGTGGAATCTTACAAAGCCAGCTGCCCTCAGAAAGAGTTTAAACGGGCCATGTCGCTCTACGCCAACTCCAACAGACGTGTGAAGGTCTGCGGGAAGCTCATGCATGAGTTCAGTATGTCAAGTGGTCCCAGTGAAGCCTACCCTCTTTCATCTTTTCCCTTAAACTTTATCAGTGTTATGATCATGCAAAACCCACTCCCACCCTGTGATGGCTGTGGGATTGAAGTGTTTCCGAGGCATTTGCTCACAGATATCGAGTACTTAGACGAACCGATACTTCCTCCATCTGACGCCATCAAAGTTCAAACAGGAGTAATAGCAATAATTCTACCTCATGGTTTGGTATGTGCGGAAAACCAAAAAAATCACGGAGTTCAGTGGGAAAAAATGTACACCTCGGCAAATAAAACACAGACACAGATTGAGGAAAAAATAGATGAACGACGTATGATTGGTCCAAAACCATGAGTACAACATTCACCGACGAAATTAAACTGGGAATATTTCCATTCTTGAGAATACTTTAGTCGATAAATGAATACTTGCTAACTTACTCATGTACGCCGCCGATGTGTTTGGGAGGAATACCTACCTATAAATGCTTTAGTTAGACTTCCAGGTCTGCCCTTTTCTGGAGTAAAACAAGTACATCAGCCATTTATCTCTTCACCTGTAAATGTCAGAATAAAAATGCAAAAACACTACGTAAGCAGAGAGAAAAAGGCATAGTGTCTGTCCAGTTGGATACCTTCGGAATTCCATTTAAGTGAGTTTGAACAAGATTAGGCTGACCAGAAAATTCTTGATTAAAATCAAATTCGACTCCATGAATTTCACCAACTAGCGTATAAAACAGGAAAAGTCTGATCAGAACCCTCTTCTAGCTTTCCCTTTAACCAAAGCTGAATGTCCGTTAGGTTTGCTTAGTTGGGGTGACTAGCATCTTCGATTTTATCGATTCAAAACACGTGATTAGTCGGAAGTTGTCTGTCGTTACACACTACGCCAGCCCTGAACACCGATGGTAATAACCTGACAGTTTATGGGTAAAATGCACCTGAAAGTGAAACGTCCTAATCTACAAACTCGGGAGAATGATGACCATGTATGTGAAACAATTTATTCAGACTGGTTGTATGCTAGAATATCGGAAAGCTCCGGCTTGGAAAATGAGTCTCTCCAACCTCCACTGCCTGATGGGCCTCAACAGAATTCTTCTGGCTCTGCTTACGGCCAAATATATAAAGCCAAACTGATGTCCGACGGACGAATGAAGTTAGAAGAGTACCTTGCAGGGAACCTTGAACAAGCGGATTTCAGTAAAAATTGCTTCCGAATCGTTGGCATTGAACGCGTGGATTCACAGCAGTTTACCTTGAATATTGTTGGTTCAGGAGACCCAGGAGAACTACAGCGGCAATTGTTATGCTATCATCCATACGCCGATAAGACAAACAAGTGGATTGAGCAAATTCAACCAATCGTACAGGATGACGTAAGACATTTGAGAGTGACAGACCAATTTCAACCCATGTTCTGTTTCAGTTTACAATTGATATTTTGCGAAAAAATGACAACTCGTTTGCAAAATCTCCCCGATTCACAGAACATGAAAGCAGCCAATGTATACAAAGTGTTGATCAATCAAAATGTGATAGCATTGCAGTCCATCAGGAACGTTGAAGACCGGTGTACTCTTCCACTCAGTGATATTTCGTTGGTAAAGAATGCCTACGTGGGTGCAAATCAGAATGACTCCCTCCTTTTCACGTTGTACTCTGGTGGACGCGGTGTTGTTTGTAAACCCATTGATGAGCTCCAGTACCATATTTTCATCATACTGGTTGAGTTGTGGTCACGCAACACACAACCTTCACAACAACGTTTCAAGGCTACCGAGAATTCGCCCGCAGAAACACGTTTTACCGGAGGTTTCTTGCATGTAGGCACTACACCAACAACTTTACACAAAACACATGTTCGCGTAATCCGTGGTTCAAAAACCTTGGAATGCATTGATCTATCTGGTAGGCTAGAGCGCTTTGAAGTCCATAGGTCACAAATTGCCAAGATAAATTCGCACGATAAGCATTTCGTTTGCCATGTGGTTGCACGTCAGGTTCTTCCAACTTACGTGAAAAACGATATGGTTGAGTTCTATGTAGGTCTCCCAACCAGACAAGTCTTGGAGAAATGGAATCGGCAGTTCACCGTCTCACCGTCAATTGCACTTAAGTGTATTGACATCATTTTGGAAGAAATGAGATCACGTGACTGTGGATGGTTAACTGCGTCAAATGATGAATCCATCACCCGTTACTTGAGTGATTTGAACAAACCGCATGAGTGTTTTGCCTTACTTGAACTTCCCGTAGAACAGTTGGGCCGCACGCTAAATGATGTTGCTGAGTGGCCAGGTGTTCGATTGATATACTTCCTGTTTTTCCTTCTCACTCACCTACCAAACCCCATTGTAACGTCACACATCCAGCGTGCAATGTCTAAACTCATGTCACATACGTGGTTTGAAACTGGCCGAAAAAGCCTACCGATGAATATTGCTCACATTCTGCGCCAACTGTCCACATTTCAGCTTTGCGTTTTGACTCGGTTGGCCGTATATTTTATTGCAGAGCAGTTTATTCGCTTGCCCGACTTCACAACGCTGGCTCCAGCGGAACGCCTGTCTGTGATGACAGCCTACTGGGAACCACTAACACAAGCGCTGTGCGGAATTACTGCCGACCGAGAAAATATACAGGCTATCGGTGTCACTTGCTTTCTTTCCGCCTATCAGTACCTTCTCCAGACAATGCTCGTGAAGCAATGCAGCGGCACCAACACCGAAATTTCTCAAACACCCAACGCACCTAGTTTAAGATCCACGTCAACGAATTCATTAGCTTTTTGGTTGAAGGACATTTAAAGACAAGCTTCCTTCACAAAATTTATTTTACCACCGACTCGGATTTAGTTGGTTTAAATGACAAAAAACTGCTTTTGCCAGATTTTATCCAACAAAAACACTTTGTTTTACCTGGATTTTACACACTGGGCATAATTAGTTCGCAGTGCGGCTTGAGAGTGAAACGATGAAAGCAGTTCGGGTGGATTTTACGGTCGGCGCGCACGAAACTCCTCATCGACATCATCATCATCGTCAGCAGCAGTAAAAGCAACATCAGTGAGTGAACATTTGTGTCTAGATAACGTACAACCATGTAAGATCAATTCAAGTCAAACCGTGAACGCATTTAGATGTGTAGTCCGACAAGAAAATAATCAAAACGGTTGTCAGTACGCCAATCATTATCATCATCATCATCATCGACAGGATGACATCAGTGTTCGACACCGATACTTCACTGCCGTACACCTATGATTTATTTGAAAGCCTCATTGTAAAGAAAAGAGTAAAGGTGGACGGGGAAGGGACCTAGT